ATAATTTGTTTTTGAAAGTGGGAAATAGCCACTATGTACACTGGGATATACACAGTCTGTCCCAGAGCCAATAAGACTGGTCTAAAAAAAATACAAAGCGTTTATTATTTTGATTTTTTATTCTTGTTTATTCAAAATAGTTTCCTTCTGAGTCAATACAGCGCTGGAAACGTTTAACAAATTTTTCGAAACATTTTTTATACTCATCGGCTGGAATGGCCTTTAGTATGGCGGTCAAAGTCGTTTGGATGACCAGGATGGTATCGAAACGATTTCCTTTCATCGCCAATTTTAGTTTGGGAAATAGCCAGAAGTCGCACGGAACCAAATCAGGTGAATACGGTGGATGATCGATAACAATGATGCCTTTTTTGGTCAAGAATTCACGTACCATGATGGCTTTGTGCGATGGTGCATTATCGTGCAACAAAAACCAACTGCCTGGCTCTCGATATTCCGGTCGAACTCGTCGAATTCTGGCCCACAATCATTGTAGAACTCCCAGATAATATTCTGCGTTCACTGTCTGACCTTCTGGAACGAATTCACTGTGAACAATTCCCTTTGAATCGAAGAAAACGGTCAGCATTGTTTTGATTTTGCTCTTCTGAAAGCGTAATTTTTTCTCTTTTGGCTCTTCTGGTGACTTCCATGCCGCATTCTGACGTTTTGTTTTTAGCTCGTATTGAAAACACCACGTTTCATCACCAGTTACAATGGCTGACATGCTTGCCGGATTCCTTCAGGACATTTTTAACATGTCTTTGCAATGCTGAACTCTCCAAGTTTTTGGTCGTCCGTCAGAGTGTGTGGCACGAAGCGCGCACAGACCTTCCGTTTGCCCAAATCTTCGGTCAAATTCGATAGACTGTGCTTTTCGGTATCCCAGTTTCCTCTTCGATGAGTCTCGCAGACACACAGCGATCGCTTCGAAGAATTTCTTTGACTTTCTCAATGTTTTCTTCATTGCAAGTGGTTTTTGGCGGCGGTGCTCGGTCATCGTCTGCAAGGTCCTCACGACCGTCACGGAATCGGCCAAACCAACGAAAAACCTGTGCACGGGACATGCATTCATCCCCGTACACATTTTTTAGCGTTTGGTACGTTTCTGCACCACTTTTACCCAATTTAAAACAGAATTTAATATTCGCTCTTTGTTCCATGTTGGTTTTTCGACCAACGTACACAAAGTGACTTTACATAAAATGTCAAACCACAGTGAAATATCAACCGAACTCACTCAAATTTTGAGGTTAAGTAGATGAAGGGTAGAACATTTACCTACCATCATTCACTCATAGATGTCGCTGCGCTAAGAACTTTTGTGGGGACTTTGAGTTCCCCAAGGCGCACGCATCCGTTTTCCGTGCAGCGCTATAGAGCGCGCACAAGTCTCACTCGTGCGGGGAAAAAGAGCAACGGAATTAGTAACCGTTGGAAGCGCTCACAGAGCGCACGGATATATAATCGCTACTTCATAGCTTTGATTATTCTTCCATTGTCTTGTGTGATACCGCGATTTTTACACGCGATCGCGTGTGTGCGAGAGCAGGCAGGCAGGTGCATCGGCTCCGGTCTGCCCACACACACATACAAGTCCCGCTGTGACTCGTATGTCGTGCGAGCGCAGAAATTGTTTTACCTTCGAGGCACATACGCCACATCTGTGATTCACGTGCTCTGCGACTGGCAGGCACGTGCGCTATAAAGAGACCGAAGGAGAAGAACACGCCTAGGTTGATTTAGGAACCTACCCTCCACTTGCAATCGACGAGAGAGCAAGAGGACAACAAAAATCCTAAATTGGTGACCCCGACACCTAAATTGGCGACCCTGACACCTAAATTGGTGACCCCGACACCTAAATTGGTGACCCCGACACCTAAATTGGTGACCCCGACACCTAAATTGGTAACCGGACAAGATTCGCAGTGCAACGGAAGAAGAAAGAGTCATTGTGCCTATTCCAACGGACCTTTTGGCTGAGGTCACCTTACCGACCGGTGAAAATTCAAACTTCCCAAAAATTGGAAACATTTGTCCGCATCGGGTGATTCCGCCGCCATCGGACAGCTTCGCTTCGATGAAAGGCAGAATCGAGCTATGATTGGTCGGAGACTCGGTGCTGTGCGCGTAGTGACTATCGGCGCATGCGTGACAAATTCTGATTGGTCGGAGAATCGGTGCTATGCGCGTGGTGATCATCGGCGCATGCGTGACGGACTCTGATTGGCTGAGACTTTGCTCTGCGCATGCAGTCATCGTGAGTGTGACACGTGCAGTTCCACAACGGTAAAAATTTTAATCAAGTGCTACACACTTTTTCGCGTCTGTTTGCATCGCGACAGCCGCACACGCAATTGTTATTAGTGCCTCGAGAAAAAAAACTGCGTACAATCGTATTCACTCCGTGAATCCGAACAGAGACACCATGTCGCTACATCACACCCCTCCGTCCAAGGGACCGGAGTAGCCACCCGTCACACCGGCAGGGCCAAGCCACATCAAACTACCTCACAGGAGTGCATTCCAATTGGAGCCGCTCATTGACATGGGGCCTCCGTTCAGCGACAATGTCATCGAGTCTATCACAGCGTGTAAAATTCCACCGTTTTGGAAACAACAGCCAGCTCTGTGGTTCGCTCAAATAGAATCACTACTTCAGATACATCGTATCCGCTCTGATGACGGCAAATATCACCTTGTCATCGGTGCACTCGACTCTGAAACAATTCAGGAAATAGCGGACATCCTGGCATCATCACCTGTCATTGACAAGTATGTCACTTTAAAAACGCAGTTACTTGCACGTTTCGCAGATTCTGCAGACAAGCAGCTCCACCGTCTACTCACAGACTTGGAGCTTAGCAACCGCAAGCCCTCGCAACTCCTTCGTCACATGAGGACGCTTACAGGCGACCGAGTGTCACAGGACATCCTGCGAGTGCGCTGGCTGGCACTTCTACCACTCGGGATACAGCGAGTCCTCAAGATCCTTCGGACAACCTGCTTAGAGGACCTCTCAACAGTTGCAGACGAGCTCATGGAAGGCTCTTCTACATCTCAAGTTCTTGCAGTTGCTGCACCACATTCACCGTCACCAGGTAGACTGAGAGCTGCAGCCTCTGCCGACACCCAAACCATTCAGCGGTTAGGAGAAGCAGTAACCACCATGCAACAGTCCGTCGCACACCTGACGACTCTGCTTGAACGCCTGCTGCCTGCTGTTGTCCACCAAGGACAGCCCACCCAGCGTCAACGTATACGTTCCAGGTCGCGCTCTCGTAACAGCCACACTCAGCAACGAACCAGTCAGTGGTGCTATTACCACCGCCGCTTCGGTGCTGCTGCGAAACGATGCCAGCAGCCGTACAGCTTTACACTCCAAGCCACTAATGCAAATGGCGCGGGAAACTGACGTCGACACAGGCAATCGGCGACAGCATAGCAGCGCCTAGTGAGAAAAGACTCCACGTTTTTGACAGGACCACGAACATTAGGTTCTTGGTCGACTCTGGATCCGTTGTTTCGCTGATTCCTCGGAAGTGCGTGCACAGGAAGCTCACTCCTACTGAGCTACAACTATTCGCCGCCAATTCATCAGCCATCTGCACATTTGACCAGCAGCCGTTCACCCTCGATCTCGGACTTCGCCGCGCATTAAAATGGTCGTTTATCATTGCTGATGTGAACTCAGCGATCATCGGAGCTAATTTTTTCTCACACTACGGTCTAATCATCGATCTTTCTCTACAATGCCTTGTGGATCCAAAAACCAGCCTTGCCACACAGGGTCAGATATGTGAGACAACCATTTTTAGTGTCTCCGCAACCAGCCAGCACAATCTTCCGAACTCACCACACCGAGAGGCATATGCCACACTACTGGACTCGCACGCTGAAGTCTTCGCACCAAGGCCAATTCCTTCAGAGATCCGCTTTGACGGGATCGCACATCACATAGAAACCACAGGACCTCCAGTGTTCGAGCGTCCACGACGACTTTTAGGTGACAAATTGGCAGCCGCCAAGGCAGACTTCGACCTTCTCTTGCATCTCGGGGTCGTGCAACCTTCACGCAGTCAATGGGTGAGTTCGATACACATGGTGCAGAAAAACCAAGGTGGCTGGCGCACAACAGGTGATTATCGGCGTCTGAATTCTCAAACTTTTCCAGACAGATATCCGATTCCATGAATAGAGGACATCCTGCAACAGTTGCATGGGAAAAAGGTATTTTCCACGCTAGACCTAATCCGAGCGTATCACCAAATTCCTGTTGCACCGGAGGACGTCCCCAAAACCACTGTCACGACACCTTTCGGCCTGTTTGAATTCTTAGGCATGCCGCCTGGACTCCGAAATGCCACGCAAACGTTCCAACGGCACATGAACAATATACTGCGCGGGATCAACTTTGCTGCATGCTACGTGGATGACATCGTCGTCTTCTCAGACAGTCATGAAGAATACCTTCAACATCTCGATGCCGTTCTCAGAGTGCTCCAGGAGAACAACCTTCCAGTCCATGCGACCAAATCCTTCTTTGGACAGGATTCTGTGCGTTATCTCGGCTACACCGTCTCACAGACTGGACTTAAACCACCACTCGACAGGGTAACAGCCATTCAACAGTTCCCAAAACCCAAGACCATCGCAGATCTAAGCCGCTTCTTGGGGAGGGTAAACTATTACCGTCGAGTATTGCCGAATGCCGCTCAACAGCAAGCTCCGCTAACGAGACACCTGAAGGATGCGAGGAAGAGGGACAAGCGAGAGATTCCCTGGACAGCGGAGACAGAAGCTGCATTCCAGAAATGCAAGGACGCATTGATAGCTGCCACACACTCAGCCTTCCTCGCTCCGGATGCACCTCTCACACTGACGACCGATGGTGCTGACTCCGCTATAGGCGCGTCACTCGAGCAGTAGATAGACGGACACTGGCAGCCGCTTGGATTCTTCTCGCGGAAACTCTCTCCGACCGAGCAGAAGTACATATGACCGAGAGCTTCTTGCTGAGAGCTTCGCTGCCGTCAAATTCTTCAGACACATACTTGAAGGAAGAGTATTCCAGGTACGGACAGACCACCGACCGCTAACATACACTTTTAGCAGGAAGGCAGAAAAGAGCTCGCCACGCCAGCTGAGACAACTGGACTACATCTCGCAGTTCACCACGAACATAGTCCATGTGAGAGGCGAAAACAACGTGGTTGCAGACATGCTCTCCAGGATCAGCGCAATTGAGATGCCAAGCACACTCTCAGTGGAAATCATTGCAAACGCGCAGGAAGCAGATCCAGAACTCGCAGACATCGTAAGATCCACGTCGCTCGAGCTGAACTACCTTCGAATCGAGGAAGAAGACATCTGGTGTGATGTCTCGATGGGCATCGTACGATCGTACCTACCACAACCACTTCGACGCAAGGCATTCGACGTCATCCATGGTCCGGCTCATCCGAGCGCTCGCTCAACGCTGAAGTGCATCAAACAGAAATTCATCTGGCCAGGCATCAACCAAGATGTTTCTCGCTGGGCACGCGAGTGTTTACCGTGCCAGCGATCAAAAGCAGACACAACAAACCACAGCCTGAATATATCGAAGCAGCGGACAACCGATTCAATCACATCCATTTGGACCTGATATAGCTACCGCCTGTACGAGGTAACCGCTATTGCCTCACAATCATAGATCGTTTTTCCAGATGGCCAGTTGCAGTTCCACTACCGAACATTGAAGCAGACATTGTAACATCCGCTCTCTTCAATCACTGGATATGCAACTTTGGAACTCCACTGACGATCATCACAGATCAGGGAACGCAATTTGAATCTGCACTCTTCCAGTCATTAGCGCGACTAATTGGCGCAACTCGGATTCGCACTACGCCGTATCATCCACAAGCGAACGGACTCATCGAACGCTGGCATCGCACCCTGAAGGCAGCGCTGAGATGCCATGCACCAACACCGTGGCCGGACATCTTACCAACCATTCTTCTTGGCCTAAGAGCATGCGTGAAGGAGGATCTGCAAGCGTCTCCAGCAGAGCTTCTCTTCGGCACAACACTACAGTTACCGGGTGAATTTTTTGTTCATGAGGATCCACCGGCTGATCCATTTATATTTTTAGAAAAATTCCGCGAATGTATTCGTAAGATCCGTCCAACGGCAACAGTTCATCACACAAACGCGAAACCGTTCGTTTTCCGAGATTTATACACTTGTTCGCACGTCTTCCGTCGCATTGACTCTGTTCGCCGGCCGCTCGATCCGCCGTATTCGGGTCCTCACCGAGTAATCAGGCGCATAACAGACCGCATATTCCTCGGACATCAATGGTGAGGAAAAAACTTTATCAACAGAGTCGCTAAAACCCGCGTTCACAGTACTGGAGGATAACGGCTCCGAACAGCCGCAAACAAATGATCCGCGTCCGTCCACTTCGTCCGCGCCACAAATCAAAACATACACGAAGAGGAAAAAAGTTTCGTACCTCTCTGCCTAGAGAGGCACTGAGGGGGGAGTACCTGTAGGTACTTTGAGTTCACCAAGGCGCACGCATCCGTTTTCCGTGCGGCGCTATAGAGCGCACGCAAGTCTCACTCGTGCGGGGAAAAGAGCAACGGAATTAGTAACCGTTGGAAGCGCTCACAGAGCGCACGGATATATAATCGCTACTTCATAGCATTGATTATTCTTCCATTGTCTTGTGTGATACCACGATTTTTACACACGGTCGCGTGTGCGCGAGAGCAGGCAGGCAGGTGCGTCAGCTCCGGTCTGCCCACACACATATACAAGTCCCGCTGTGACTCGTATGTCGTGCGAGCGCAGAAATTGTTTTTTATACCTTCGAGGCGCATACGCCACATCTGTGATTCACGTGCTCTGCGACTGGCAGGCACGTGCGCAATAAAGAGACCAAAGGAAAAGAACACGCCTAGGTTGATTTAGGAACCTACCCTCCACTTGCAATCGACGAGAGAGCAAGAGGACAACAAAAACCCTAAACTTTGATGGAACCAGTCTCATCGTATCTGGGACAGACTGTGTATACCCCAGTGAATCATGCCGCAGTATACAGTGAATTGCCTTTGTCTACAGTGAATCAAAATATAAATACCGGCAATAATGACCCAAATTTCAATAAAAATAATATTATTTATTTAAAATCAAGTCAGTCTTTTGACAATCTTCAGTCTTACAAACAGCAAGTAATGATCATATAACATATTGATATCTACTTTAAACTAAAAAATAACATTTCCAATTAAAATTTAAAATTCAATTATCGAAATTAAAGCATTTCTAGTTTTATCATATCACATATCGATATCACATCACATTCATATCGACTTAAAACTAAAACAGAACATTTCTTATTAAAATTTCAAATTACATTTTTGAAATTAAGGCATCTTCTAGCTTTAGCATATCATATTCATATCGATATCATATCACATTCATATCGACTTAAAACTAAAAATAAACATTTCTAATTAAAATTTCAAATTACACTTTCGAAATTAAGGCACTTCTACCTTATCATATAACATATTCATATCAACTTAAAAATAAAGAATAAAATTTCCAATGAAAATTTCAAATTAAATTGTCGAAATTAAGGCACTTCCAGCTTGTAAACTGTAAAGTATTGTAAACTGTAAAGTATATAACAATACAAAAAAAACTAATAATTAAGTTAAATAAAAAAGACGGTAAACTGTGTTTACTCAAATGAACGAAGAAAAATAAAGAAGGTAAGTAGGCGTAATATTGAGATCGAAAGTAGGATCAAAATTCCGACTCGGGTACACAGTGGATTGAGATCCACTGTGTACTGGAAGTCGTTGATCCACTGTTTATTCACTCTCCTTTTTTTCAAACTGTCAAACCATGACCTTATTTACTAATCGTTATGATCGTAAAATGACTATAAATAAACATAAATTAGAATAGAAATGGAGAAAAATTGTTATTTAATACTTCTGTACCGAAAAATAAACAGAAAAGTCTCACCTTAGATAGAAATTTTGACGTGAAGAAACACAAAATTGTCTCCTGAAATGCGTGTTTGTCGCGTACGCGCGTAATAAACTAATACGAGTTTCCACGTCGGATATGCTTTGTAAAAAAAAGACAACAATATCAGTTCATGTCTTCCACTCAAAACGAAATATTCACTGTACTCCTGATCCACTGATGCTACCTAGACCCTACTTAACCCCTTGACTGTGGATGACGTGTATAGCCGCATGAAAAAGTCGTGCCACCAGTGTGGATGACGTGTATACACGCATCGAAGAAAAAAACTAAAACTATTGTTTTTTGCATAAAGGTGGGAATCTATATGTTTTTGGAGTCTCTGAATCCGAATTTGATATCAAAATTTCGAAATTCAAAATGGTGGATACAACATGGTGAGTCAAAATTATAAAAATAATCGGATTTTAATGAAAGTGGGAACCTATATGTTTTTGGGGTCGCTGAATCCGAATTTGATATCAAAATTTTGAGATTCAAAATGGCGGACCCAACGTGGCAGGTTAAAATTATGAAAATAATAAGATTTTCATGAAAGTGAGTATTTACAGGTTTTTGAGGTCGATGAATTCAAATATGGTATCAAAATGTAAAAAATCATAATAGTGGAATAAAAAAATTTAAAGTAAAAAAATATTTATACAGGGTGTCCCATTTTAAGTGTCCACCCCAAATATCTCTCTTATTTTTGATTTTAGAGAAAAATGGTTTAGACACGTTTTGTATTGTTTCAAGGGGGGCATAAGATGGTACCATTGAATTGACCATGAAGAGTCATTTGAAGGTCACATGAAGGTTACCTCAACTTCTTTAGATGGAACCTCTTATGTTTTATTCCATATTCTTATAGCTGACCTTGAGAGCTTCCCAAAACATATACTATAATCACTATAATCGAATGTTCTTTGGTGAAGTACTTTTCGAGTTATAAAGCTTCAAATTTACAAAATTTTGATAAAAATATAAAATATTTCGTAAAACATTCACTTTCCGATAATCTTATCTTACATGATCCAACCAGTCAAGGCAAGATCCGAGCATGATCCAGCCAGTCAAGGCAATATCCGAGCATGATCCAGCCAGTCAAGGCAAGATCCGAGCATGATCCAACCAGTCAAGGCAAGATCTTCTTTTGTGTACAATTATTTAAAGTGTTCAAAACCTTGGCCATTTACTTGTATGCATAGCTCTAGTCTATGGTGAAAGTCGTCTCTAACTTTTTCAAGGACACCTACATCAATATTTCTGCAAGCCTGTCTGATCCGGTTTTTCATATTTTCAACGGTTGTAGGCTTTTGCGAATAAACTATATCTCTAATGTAGCCCCAGAAATAAAAATCTAGGGGTGTCAAGTCCCGTGATCTTGGGGGCCATTCTTGAACTCGGCTGCCCATACCAATCCACCTATTTGGGAATCTATTGTTTAAATATTGTGTAACAGCTCGAGATCTATGAGCCGGTGCTCCATCTTGTTGGAACCACATTCGTCTGAGTAAATCATTGTCTCAAGAGGTTAGGCAGGTCATCTTGAAGAAATCTTAGATAGATTGCCGCATTGCGATTTTCTTCAAAATGATATGAACCAACAATAACATATCCCAGGATGCCTGCCCAAACGTTGATGGACCACTGCCGTTGGAACTCTTGGCTTCTCTGCCAATGTGGATTAGCATCTGAATAATAATGGCAGTTATATGTATTAACGCCTCCTCTATTACAAAACGTGGCTTCATCAGAAAAAAGCGTATCAGCAATGAACCGGGGATTTTGTTGGATTTGATCTCGAGCCCAGTTACAAAGACGTACACGGCGTTGGTAGTCCCTCTCTTCCAATTGCTAAGTTAGATGAATGTGATATGGGTGAAACTTGTTGAGCTTGAGCACACGATTGGCTATTGATTTAGATATACCGTATTGCCTCTCAATTTGTCTCGTAGAGATTTGAGGATTCAAAGCAACGACACCTATAACAGTCAATGTGACTTCATCAGGGCCCGATTTCCTCCGGTTTCTTCTAAGAAAACCCTGTTCAGCTCTGTCGCAGAGTCTTTTTATTACTTTCCTATCAGGATGGCGTCTGTTGGGAAATCTTTCAGCATAAAGCCTTTCTGCTGCCGAGTAATTATTCCTGGCCTCACCCAAAATGCGAATCATGTCCACAATTTCATTTGATGGATAAACAGCCATAATTATAAAGAAAAAAAGCGCTAAAAAACCAAAAATTCTTGTCTTATCAAAAAAAATTCAATGGATAATAATATGCGTCTGTCTGAGACTTCGCCAAAATACCGACAGTTGCCCAAGTAAGAAATTTGAAACAAGCCTCTTGATATTTGTTTCATTAAAAGAATTAACAATTGCACTTTCACAATTGTTACAGTCCATTGATTATCAGGCAATACAGGATTTCGTCTTGACTGGCTGGATCATACTCGAATCTTGCCTTGACTGGCTGGATCATGCTCGGATCTTGCTTTTACTGGTTGAATCATGTAAGATAAGACTATTGGAAAGTGAATGTTTAACGAAATATTTTATATTTTTATCAAAATTTTGTAAATTTGAAGCTTTATAACTCGAAAAGTACTTCACCAAAAAACATTTGATTATAGTGTTTTGGGAAGCTCTCAAGGTCAGCTATAAGAGTATGTAATAAAACATAAGAGGTGCCATCTAAAAAAGTTGAGGTAATCTTCACGTGACATTCAAATGACTCTTCAAGGTCAAATCAATGGTACCATCTTATGGCCCCCATGAAACCGTACAAAACAAGTCTGAACCATTTTTCTCTAAAATCAAAAATAAGAGATATATTTGGGGTGGATACTTAAAATGGGACACCCTGTATGCAAGAAACTGTTCTAAAATTTAGTGGCCCGTTTTTTTGCGGGTGAATATATTTTTATTATGGCACATTTTTCTACATACGATAAAGTTTTTATCATAATACTATTTTTAATCATTTATTGAAAATTCTATATTTTTATAACACTGTCTAACGCATAAAAACAAAAGCCATTGTTCTAATTCGTTGTGAAACGTTACAAAATCAAAATAATTACTACAAGCGCTACGTAATCGGTTAAAAATACCGAGCGTCAATTAAAGTTTTATCACGTTTAGTATCGACAGCTCGTTGTGTGGATGCCGGCTATAGTCGGCACTCATATGTACAAGTCCTCACATCGATGCTGACTGGTGTTAGGAATAAAAGAATTAAAAAAGTTGCAAATTTACTTATATGAGCTAAATTATCTTATTTTATTATTTTTCATAAATAAATAGTCAAAATATCAAAATATCAGAAAATAATATCTTAATATTAGTTGTAATATTAGGTGTACAAATGAATAATCCAATTTTTTGAGCTACATTCAAGATTTATTTTAAAAGAAAGTAAATTAAATTGCTCAATCAAAGTATTCGCCGTTGCTTTCTATAACTATATAAGCTATCTTTCAG